AAACGGATATATCCAATAAAATTGTATACACTCTAAAGTTTTTGGAGTGAAAATAGAACCATGGAGTGAAATGTTCACTCAATTGGAGCAAATCTTTACTCCATTAGAATGAATATTTACTCCAATAGAGCGACTATTTTACTCCATGGTTCTGTTTTCACTCCAAAAACTTTAGAGAGTACCCGATGAAAGACATGAGCGGTTTGTCAAACAAATCTCATCGGCATCTGCATCTCATTGGATAAATTTCATCGGATGTATCTATAATTTATTCGAAAAACGTGATCGGAAAAATTAACCGTCGGAAACACCATTTAATTGGTTTATCCGATGGAAATTTTTCTCAGTATATATTATTCGCATTGCATCGTTAATTGCTATTAATAATTAACGCTTATTAATATTGCATCAATGTTTCCACACGAGTCAAAGTTACATCGACGAACAATCGTACGCCTTTGATCCTAAAAATAGATCTCCGTATACCGTCGGCAATTGACAGGCGCGACTCATGCGCGAACTTCGGCCTGGACTGAAAAACAAGCAGCCGCGCAAACTTAAATTGTTACACAATCTCTCGCGCACGTAATTAAATATTAAATGTTTCGAGCGGCGTTTAATTGCCCGCCATTATGCACTTCTAATTCGCGCGGTTTTACAAAAAGAAAATGCGACGCTTATCGCTTGCGCTCAACTATATGGATCACGATACCTTCTTGTATTGGTACGTTCTCGAGACCGGATGAGGATAATCGTACGACATCATTGCAGGTGGGAAAGACATAAATCCAGGAAGGGAACTAGCAAACTGCAAAAGAAGCAATCCATGTACAATCGATATATAACACAAATTGAATAATTGAAAAAGAGCCCGAGTATCGTAATAACAAGAGCAGGACTAATTAAAGCCCGAGCGCAGTAGGTGCATGATAACTTATAGTAAATATAAATCTCACGCGAGCACGCAACGCTAAAAAAAAATGCCCGCGTATCTTTCGTCTCAAATCAAACCTGTTCTTTCTCAAACAATTACTTTTACCATGAAGAAAAGTTGATTTTCGCGCACGGCTCTTTAGATTCCTTCGTGCGATCAGCATTGTTGCAGACGAGTATTAATTTTAATAATGAATTTTAATAATAAATATTTTGCGGAAGATACAGACGCTCCGATTTTTAGTTTGCTAAATGCTACCTGTCTTCTAAGTTCGGAGTCCTTTTTTCAACTTACAGTTAATTTACATCCCGCGGTTAATTGTGCAAAAATAAATAAGATTGCGAATATATAACCAGTAATTAAACACAATCGTCGGCGAAGCTAAATATAGCTAGTCAAACCGGATAATAAAATGTATAATAAATATCGAATGCAGTTTCGCCAGTAGCCGACAAATTTATTCGATAAATAAAACACACGAGCGCCATTGCCAGTGTGTACCGGATGATCAACTAGTACAATTTATAAAGCCGTAGATCAAACGGATCCGGACGGCGTCGACGAGGGCCGACGTTGAAAATTTCATTTACACTTCGACCGCCGCGCAACATTCGTCGGTAAAATTAATACCCGTCCACGACAATGACACTGGTCGCAATCTAAGAAATGTACGCGCAAATTAACTTTATCACAGAAACAAGAGCGATCGTGACGTTCAATTTTAACCCAAAGCTAACGTCTCTAATAATAAGACAAGTATAAACAATACGATAAACAAGATAAAGAAAGAATACAATTTTAGAAAAGCGTACCTTTGTCAAGACTGGCAGCTCCAACGGCGGTCAGCGATCGCGAAGTTCGTCATTTGAGGAGAACCAGCTGGGAGACACTTGGCCCGGTGAAATATCGAATCCCGTCGCTTTGTTTATCCCGTGCGAACAAATAACGCCGCACAGGACACGGCGCGTGCGGCGCGGTGTCGCGTTCTCCAGACTTTCGCCAAACAGTCCGGTCGTATCACGAGCCGATTTGCCTCACGGCGTCTCGCCGCGACATTTTAACATCTCCCGTGTCGAAGTGCAAATGGATAAAATATCGGATAACGCGTGTATACCGACGACACGTCGAGCGGATTGACAGGTCGGGACGGGCTGACATTAGACACGCAAGCGGGTGCACTTGGTGAGGTCTCTACACCAACTGACTCGATGCTCTCCGCTGCCATTCCGGCACAGGCTACCCTCACCCGACTACGAACCCTCCGGAGAAGCTACTTTGGATAGGAAGGTCGCTCCAAATACTTGGTTGTGTGCTACCCACACGAGCGCGGGCGCGCGTGCAACCGTGCGTATCGACGAGCTGACAAAAACACGAGGGGCCGTGCACGAGGGAATAATTCAAAGTCAATATACATCAATGACATTGCCAAATCTGTCCCGTTAAACTTTCTCACGGCAATCGCGCGGAATCCTTCGTGTGACAGAATCTTGGACCGCTCTTCGTATCTTCCGATCTTACACGCGACAGATCGTACACTGACAGAAAAAAAAATGGTTGCAGTTACCACAATCTCACTGTAATTTATAGTCATTTTAGAAGCCAACCACATTTTTATAATTCCTCCAACTACGCAAGTTATGGTTGACCTAACAATGTAGTATAGTTTTCATAGACACAAATTGGTCCATGCAACTTATGATATGGTTGTCACAAACCAAAACGAGCTTTTAATTTGGTAAGGTGTACTATTGCAATAACAACCGCAAGTAAAATTTCGAATAACTATAATATATGTAATAAATAATCGTATTTATATTGGAAGTAACATTCCCCGCTTTTTATTATGTATACATTGCGTTCACTATGTTCATTAGTTACATCATTTTGCACTCATAAAGAATCGTACAAGAAAGCATCTTTCAAAGAAAAGATAATTAACTTAAATAAAAATAATTAACTAATTTACTATTCATTACCTGGATATTTTAACAGAATACTAGTTACAAACTTATGTTTTACAGTAAATTTTTTAAACAGTTAGCATTACTGTGTCTATATGGTTGCTATTGCTAATATTACAGTAATAATTGCTATAAAAATGATATTCCTGACTATAATTATTTTACTATGCAATTATAGTTTCACATACTACATATTTTTCTATCAGCGTAATATAATAGAAATCAGACGATAGGAGAAGCATTTCTTTTAACAGTTGTTATCCCGAATCGAATATTTGGGCCCCTCAGTTTAGCCTCGTATAATTTTTGAATTGGAAGCAACGACGTCGAGCTAAGGTTTTTTGTGTCGGGGAAAATATATAGAATTTTTTACCACAGTTAGGCCCTGAAAAGAGTCGCAATTTCTGTTATCAATAAAGACGCCGATGCGAGTGTAATCAACAGAGATAGATTCTCTTCGGCTTAAGAGGTTTCAAAGAGAGTGAAAATTTTACTACATTCTCTTTGAGGGTTAAATGAGATTAAACGCAATTTTTTTTACTCATCTGGGCCTCAAATTGGAGTTTCAAACCGACACCGAGGGCCAAATGAAGACGGAATGGAACAATTGAGGCACATTCCGGGGCCTCGACTCGGGTACTTGCCAACGTGGATTTTAATTCCGATTCTGTTTGCCCGCCAACTGATACGAACCGCGAAGGAAGGCGGTTAGCGGTCGCTGTTTAAGCCACGCCGTACGTACCGATAATTAATGCCCTGCGTGGCGAATGGGATTGAATTACCAATTTTACACGCGCGTCCGTGGGCGCACGCTCGCGTCGAATTTGTTTGCAAAATATAGCGATCGTGCCGAGCTCGCGTTGCGCCCGTCGTAACACGAGCCATCGCGTTCAGTGAAAGCGAGCAACGTTCAATCAGAATGCCATTACCACATATCCGTCGATAATGAGGCGGAAACCGCCATGGCACGTTTGGCGCTTCTGCGATCGCGTTACGCGTCCGCCGGTGTTTTTCTCCCTCGGTTCAGATACTCCGAAAAAGCTTGCGGCTGCAACTTGGAATAGACCTGATATCCCTTGCAGTGATAAAGGGGAAGAGCGCGGCAGAACGGGTTGCGATTAGGGAAATGATACGAGAAGGCCGCGATCGCATGGCGCGTCTTATAATCACGCGCATAATTTCGCGAGTTCTTGTATAATCGCGTATTAAACATTTTCCAAACGTGAGATCCGTGCAATTTCATAAAACCTCAATCCCGGGCTGTAATTATGGCATCTCGATCGTTCCCAGAGCTATCGCATCCGCCTCGCCGGCAAATCGTCCGCGTCGGCAGTGACGGTTCTTTTTTTAACAATCGCAGCGCGACTGCTAATTAATATAGTGAACGCGAACCGAGTCGTAAACACCGTAGATGCGGCAAAACTGTCGTAAGGAGTAATATGTCGCCCCGGCGATGGCGACGATAGCGATCGATCCAAATGAGCGGTCAGCTGTAATGCGCATCTCGCGACTCTAAAATTATGGTATACCTAAATTGTAAAGTAGCCCGCCGGCGATTATCTCTTCATTAGCATCGAGCTTGTCTTAATGCGGCTACGAAGACAGCTGGTTTCCTCGCGCAAAAATGCCGCTCTTAATCGGGTCGTATCGTGACGGGCAAAGAACTGGAAGTTAGTCCGTACCGACGATAACTAATTCGAGAGTAATGCGGCAAATTTCAACGTTAAGATAGAAATCGTAAAAACGACGATAAAAGACGCACCGATCGGGGGCCCATTTTTTAAGGAGCCATCGAGTTTTAGGGAACGAGGCCCTCGATCACCCTCAGACACGCGAGATAAATGATTTAAAATCGTCGCGTGTGCTATAATACTCGGGTGTATTTGCGACACTCGGTAATCAGTAATTACGAGTGATATCTGATCGATGGAGGGTCGATCGCGTCTCGTGACGTTCCACTTCGTGACAGCGCTGAAAAGACACCATTGTCGAGGCTTCAAGAGGCGCGTCGCGTCCGCGGGATTTCGGCTGCCTCACTCGAGATGATAAGCCGAAAACTCATTAAGATTATCTCTGCGCGCTGGAGCTGCCAGATGCTGAAGGAACGCTGCAGACACGCCGACTGCATTTGCACTTGGCGCTGCCTTCTGGAGCTGCCTCGTCGCTCATGTCAACGGGGAATTTTTATAGAGATGACCGTCGTGATCTCTGAGCCGCGGGGTGATTAGTCTCGCGGCGCTAAGAGAGCCTTCTGTCGTAGATAGACCGGTGCTTCACGCATCGAGGTGCGCGCGTGAAAATTTCCAAAGCCATGTGCTCCAACGTTGAAGGATGGAGATACCAAGTGCACAGTATACATTTTATTTCGTTCGGTGTTTCACGATTCGTCTAAATATGCGAATTCAATTAACTCGGCAGATTGGCGGAAAAATTTTCATCGGATAAACCAACTAAACAGTGTGTCCGATGGTTAACTTTTCCGATTAAATTGTGGATACATCCGATGAAATTTAATTGAAAAACCGATCATATGTTTCATCGGATATATCCGTTTGTCATCATGTAATTGTATATTATGTAATTATGTGTTATGTAATTATATAATTATCCGATTATATTTAGTCGGATGTCTTTCTCAGTGCTGGATTCAGCGATAGTTTTTAATCGTTTTTCAAGATACACACCGCGAACACCTCTAGCTTTATATCCACTCGCACGACGAATAAGAGAGTCGTTATATAAAAATCCACACCCCCTGAAATTTTACTCGGCTACATACGTCGTTATGACATTGTGTTCTAAGGCGGTATAATCGTACGATCCGCTCCTTTTACACAGCGGCAGTTGGTGTGTACGGATTGTATCCGGTGCTGTCATTCACGAGACGTGCAGACGCGCCCGATTCTTAGGCGTGCTTTCATTGACGCCAACCGGCGTATTAAAACCCGACACGAGTCGTAAACATTCGCACGCTTCGCGTAGCGGCCCGCGATACGGCACAAGCGATAACAAGTGGTCTGATAACGACGCGAACGATATTGCACGGGCCGGTTTCAACGTCGGGTGACTAATCAACTAATTATTGTTTTCCTTCCTGGTATTTCAAGCGGTGAAACGGCTCGCTCTTTCTTCCTCCCTCCCCCATCCGCTCGGCAGACCGACAGACACACGAGAACTGTGAGACTCGTGCGGCGAGCACAAGGCGCGCGATGATCGATGAGGAAGAATAAATAAAAACTTCCGCACCGAATGCCGACGAGCTTCCTTGAAGGATACGCGCTATCGTCCGATAGATGAATCTCGATCTCTTCTCCGACGCCGGTTCTTCCCGCGCTATCTAAAATTTACGGTTGCGTCCAAAGTTAAATGTTATAACATTCTATACAAGTTCCGAAAAGTAATTTATTCGCATTTCAATTTCAAGCAAGTCAAATAGTTTTCACAGATACGAAAAAGTCGCTAAGGTTCTTTACTTACATTATAATATAAGAATCTAAGGGTAAATGTTGTAGATTCCTCGAATCGACGATTACGTACACTGAAAAAAAAACAACCGTAAGCTAATCGTGGTTTGCTAAAAATACTTTGCTGCCACAACTATAAATTTCTAAACCGCAGCAAACGGTTTGCTGTCGCACCTAAGGCACAGTGGCAAAGTGTATATATCTTACAACTGAAATTTAGAAATTTGCCACGTGCAGTTTTTAGCCACGATAGCTACACTTTTCTTTCCGTGTATTCTCGCAAAAAAAATTCTCCTTCTCGTACTCGAAGAAACTAAACAGGTTTTAGACAAGAAGAAATTGAAAGGTATTTAGTAAGCTTCGTGCGTGGAAGGTAATCCCGTATAAGCCCGGGCTCTGAGACTCTTTCCTCTGGATGCAACATTTTTCGAAGCCTTGGAAAGGATCAAAGCCTTCGCCTGCACGCAATAATTATTGCTTTTAAAAATCGGGCAGATACAAATTTCTTTCCCAAGATACTCTCGTCCTTACGAAATTACGAGTGATTACTCCGCTGCCCGGCGAAATCAGCTTCCTTGATGCCTCCGCCGCGCGTTTCTCAGCACGTTCATTTCCCACGCACGTGGTGCAAAATTGTGGTGCACCCTCTCGCCGTTTACGATCGCCGATCCGCGGCCGCAGACTTCTTCGCGTGCACGTAAAAAGAGGTAGCTCGGTTTGCCCCCCTTTTTTTAAGTTTATTGCGGTTGATTGGCGAGGCCAAGACCCCGCATGATACTCGGCGGCACGAACCGTGGCGTCGGCACCCTTTCTCGCACGGGCCCGCAGCCCAGAAATTGGGCCCCGATAAAGCGTGAAGACGGGCGAAAAGGGCGGGAGGACGAGGCGTTTGGAGAAAGTGCGCAACAAGTGTGAACGCTCGGGAGCGCGCGGGCACGTTTGCGATA